GAGATAAGTGAATGGTACATACATACATGCATGGAAAATTGAGTCAGTAGGGGACCACTTTGCAACAGCTGTTAAAATTATTGTTATAAAACAGGAGACAACAATTAGCGCAAAGATCTTATGTGTGAACTACTACTCTTCAGAAGGCGTAAGATGCCATTTATAGAAAATAACGCCTGCAAAGATTGATGAGCATGTTTTGTCTGGTGTCTTGTATTTCACAGGCTACAAGTCTATTTTCCTCTTCCTTTCACAGCAACCTGCAGGAGCATTTGTTTTGTTTTTTACACTTTGTTCTTTCCTCTGCCATTACCAAAGTTGACAGTCTGGCAGGCTCTAATATGCACTGTAAGTTCACAGATAAATTAAAGGAGTAACATCAAGCTAAAAGGAACTGCAAAGAGATGTTCTCCATTTCTCAGAGAGGAAAGAAAACAACTGTTACATTTTTTTCATTTGATATCACATTTGGACATTTTCTCAGCTAAGGTGAAAAGACTGCAAAAGCAGTAATCTCTCTCTCCTTAGTCCAGAGAGCAGGTTGGATACCCCTTTTACGGAAACTCAGCATCTGATAACTCAGTTTGTCTATAGAGTGTATTATACCCTAACTAGCAATGTTATATCCTTGAAAGCTTCCTAAATACTCAGAGAAGCCTCTTCTGATGCAGGCATTAAGCAAAACATAGGTACCTTGGATTATTTTCAGTTTGCCAAAAATAAGCAAGGAAAGTTTCTAAATGTGACATTCTTTCTCTATCAATCTACAGTTTTAGAAATCAAAAATCGTAAAGATGCAAGTGCTGCTGTAGCTGGCTCTCAACACACCTTTGCTGTAGAAGTCAGGTTTCTATATTTGCTGTAGAGTGTACAGTCAGTTGGTATGTAAAGGATCGCTCTTAGGGTGACATAGGGAGTCCATTCATTCATGTCAAGACCAACATACACTATTCTGCAATATATGTAAGCAGACCTTGCCTAACTGCAGTAATCCAGCAAACTCAGAGGTACCTTGCTCTGCTGTATTTACATGCTTCTCACATCTTCAGGAGCAGAAGCTTTCTACATGCTAAGAAACCTGCTCTTTCAGATGAAACTGGCCATAGCAAAATTTGAACTATAGCTTCCTCTCAGCACTTAAATCTTTCAAAATATAAAGGTTAGGCACCTTAGCATTTAAATATAGGAATAACAGATTGCTAAGAAAAGGTGATTCTGAAGTGCAAGAACAACACTGTACAATATTATCTGGACAGTAAAATAGTCTATGTATTCTGCAGAGCCTTTCCTCAGAAAAATAATGTAACCTTGGAACTTAGGGATGTAAGGTTTTTTATTTTTAAAAAATTAATTGTTATCTCCCATCAAAATTCAATGGGAGGTTCAATTGTCAACTTAATTGTCAATTCAGCATAAGGTTCTCTCTTACAAAAAGCACTGTTGCAACAACCACACAGCAATGCTCCATTTAAGGAAACACCTTGAGAAGTTTTGTGCTCGTGAGCATAGGTAAGGGTGAGTGCTTTCCAATGTTTAACTGGCCTCTTGTGTAAGAAAGAGGACACATTAACAAAAATACTATGCATGATGCAGTGACTGGAAACTACCGTAGCTGCTAGATACAGAGATAATACCTCTCAGTCACTTTTCTGTGTCTGTAAGAAGCAAAGGAGAAGATTTTTTTCCCTAGACCTACTTACTTGAGCAAGTAGGACCTATTGCAGCATGCTCTGTAAAACAAATGACTTGATCCTTAAAATGACCTAGATGCTTATAGGTAAATAGTGTTCATCTCATTCTGTTTTACCTGATGTATTCAGGAGGCAAGCTCTTTGAACATGATCCTCCTCCTTTAGGATTTAGGGATTCCCAGATTATATCAGATGATTCTACTTTCAGCTCTCAGGGTAGCTGACCAGCCCTTAGTAGGTACTGATAGCTGGTTATTTTGTGAGATGACTGAAAGGCTACTAGCTTTTTCAGTCAGATCTTCATTTTCAGCCATGTGCCTGCAAAATGCTGTGACAAAGTCCTGTAAAATTTACCATCTCAAATTTTAATGCATTTCCCAAAGTAATTTCCTATGTCTTCCTGAGGGAAGAAAAGTAGATTTGTGTAATTCTCTCATCACATTTAGTGTTGAATCTAGCAACCTATATTTATTCAGAATGGTTAAATAATAGTAGCAGGAATTTACTGAGTAGTGGCATGCTCTTTACTTATTTCTTCAGGCATCTTGTGTGTGGATGCTCCTGCCTCAGCTGAAAAGAGGCATCTGATTCAAACAACAACAAAGTTTGTCAACAACAAAGTTGCATCAGTTTAAGCAAATTGTTAAACCTGTGTAACTGTGAGGACAAGCCTTGTAGGACAAGAAAGATTTTCCAAGTCTTAATCAACCCAGCTGTGGTTTAAGTATTTGGGGAGTTAAAGGGTTTCTCTTGACACCTCAGTATAGTTGTACTGAATCACAGAATCTCCTTCTTAGTCTTGCTAGAGATAATGAAATGGTAAACCTGAAGCAAAGGACCTTTCCTGTATGTGTTTGGTTACTGATTCTAAAAAAACAGAGTGTTCTGTAGCTTGAACAGTACATTTGTTCCCTCTTAAACAGGTCTCCATCCCACAATCAGAGGTTATAATCCTACTTTATCTCCAGCAAGCCTGTACATGCAAGTGGGGAGGGGGAAAAGAGGAAGGAAGGAACTAACCTTTAGTTTAGAAGCACATTTTCTTCTTTGCATACAGCTCAGTTTTACGCAGAGCAGATTAGTTAAACTGCAAAGAAGAGTTTGTTGTTGTTGTTTGAAGGGGTTTTTTTCTGCTTTTGAGAAGAAAGTAACAGAGAAGTATAAACCTTTGAAGTGGTTTCAGCTGAGTTGTCCAGTTACCTTGCCACAGTAAATCTCTCCCACGCTCCCTATCTTCACGGCGAGGAGGGCCCACTGTCCAGGCTAGCAATCAGGCAAACATAACAGCAAGCCACTGCATGACCTTTTCTCATGGAAACATTTGAAAGGTACTGGCCTCTGGCTCCTGAGGCCCAGGGCTGGCATAGGCTGGGAATCTCAACATGCTCTTCAAACGCTTCCCAGCAGCATTAATTTGCTGCAATTTTGTTGCCCATTTGTTTCTTCTGTTGGGTAGCAACTGAACATGAGTGCAGCATTGAGTTACACCTGTTTCCAGCCCATTCCTTTGAGCCACAGCTGCCCTAAAGTCTGTATGAAGGCCAGCCCAGATACAAACAAGAAGTGAGGCCTTTTGCTTAGCTAATATCAGAGCAACACAGCTTCACAGCTTCTTTTTGGTAAAGCTGATCCAAAGCAGTTGTTTCTTCCTTTCAAGAGACAGGCTAGTTTTGAAAATCTGCAAAGAGAAGGGTGCCTTTTATTTCTGGCAGAATGTGTGAGATTTGAAAAGAAGGGAGAGGAAGATCAAATGGTGCACCGCGGTTTCACCAATTTGTTTAAATTTGTCTGTCCTACTCCTGTCCTCCATCAGCATATCTTAAATCCAAGGGGTTTTCTAAACATAAATTACTCTAGCTGGATCATCCACAAAGTTAAAGATCCATGTTGCTGGCTCTACTTCCTCTTTTCACTTTTGCACATAAACACAATTCCACAGAAACCTTCTATCAGTGCTAGGTACCCTCTCTAGACATGTCAGTTTAAGAGTGGCACAGCACCCAGCCCAGCAACCCAAAGTTGCCTGAGCAGTATACTGTCTTCCCCCATTAGAAAGTGGAAATTGTGCCCAACTAAGAATTTTTTTAATGTTAGTGGTGATATCTGAATGCCCACCTTCCTCTCTCCTAATGAATATGGTAGCTATCCTAGTTAGAAAACTGCATGGAGCCCAGTTTCCTCCTGATTCATATTTCAGTTTCAAAATCCAAAGCCAGCTATCTATCCTATGGTTGGCAATCTGAAACAAGTAAGCTCATGCTATACACTCCTCCCAAGTCTTTTCACCACATGAAGGCAGCAATCAAGTACTTAATACAAAACACAAGACTTGACAGACTTGTAACTCTAACCAGTTTTGACTTTGTTTCTTTTCCAGGCAGTAACTACAGAAGAGTGCTGCAGAACTGGCTTGGTGAAACAGTGCCCGCTGACACATGGAAGGCCGTCTAAAATGCCTGCACTCTCCTTCCCAGTTTTGCACAAACAAGAGGTAAGAGAGGAAATGTAGGTAGGTTTAGAAAACCCCCAAGGCAGACATGAATCGAGAGAGGTGTTAACCACAAGTTGTTCTTTCTTCAGTGAGTGCACATCAGTTCCCAACAGCAAGCTGGAGTCAGTACGTACAAAAATTATACACTATAATACTTGGAGCCTGTAGGAATCAGCTACACCAAGCCCCAGCCTAACTCTAATGACTTGGGAAAATCAGTGCAGTAGCAGTGACCTTCCATGGAGCTGGACTATTTTTCAAAACAGACTTTTTATACAGCAATGCAGCTTTCAGCAGTGGGGTTGGTGTGGTGAGTGGGGAGGGAAGGGTGCAGAATAGAACTGTTCTCTTGCATTAGTGGCTCATTCAAACTGCATTTCCTTTCTCCAGGTTCTACTTTTCCAGAGGTTGGCTTTAATTCTTAATGTGGTATCACATGAATCCTAGACCAAAGGGAGCCTAAATCATGCTGAACAAATTTGTTCAAAGGTAGTAGAGAAAGATCAGCTACAACATCAAATTATAAAGCTAATGTATTAAATCCTGTTAAATTTTAAGTGCAATGAGTTGACCAGCAGATACCCCTTACCTGTTGCAAATAGCCAAAAATGTGGCATTTGAAGAACTCTTGAATTTCACTGTAATGGTAGCTAACATGATGCTGACTTTGTAACATGCTTTAGCATGTTAAAGCTGCTCTAAAAATAACTAATACAGAAATTTAATTAGCTTAATTCAGTGCTGAAAAAAATCGTAAAACCTGCCCATGGAACAGATTTCTTCGTTAAAAATAAGACAGAGCCCCACACAGTCACAGTATAATCCATTTATTAGCATAATTTGTGAACCATTGGTGTTGATCCAGGGGACATGACAATTTCGGCACTTGACTGATTTCAGAGATACTCAGACCCTGGTTAGTAGAAAGGGATTTTAATAGGACTGAGTGGGCTACTACACAAGCAAGTTTTTCTTCTTGATGTGGGAAATTAAATATTTTTCTGAACAAGGAAAAATACAGCCCAAAAGATGTGCATTGGTCCAGGTCCACAGTGCATTCTTGCACAAGCAGTGATCCCAAGTTGGTTACCACCAGGTGCCATGCTGTTCCTTCTAACTGCAAGAAACTCCCAGCAAGTCTATCAAGATGGTGTTAAACACCACAGTGCAGTTCATGTCTCAAAAGCTTTCATCTGATTGCTGAATATACACATAAAAATCTGTCTTCAAGTGGCTGATGGATCACTGCAGCTTTTTTGGGGGTGAAGATACTTCAGGATATTGACTTCAGGAAGGAAGGAAGACAGACCCACCCCTTACCCCTGATATAGCAAATATCCATGTTCCTGGTTCCTCACCAGTGCCTCCACTAATATGTTTGAGAAACTGATCTGTTATTCTCTGCTACAAGCATACAAGGATTACAAGGGTAATCGACATCCTGTCCAGGTTAATAAACAGCTGCCTGATTAATTACAGCATAGAACATAATTCATAGAAATCATCAGAAGAGTGGTCAGCTACAGGAAGGGGATAAATATCTAATCCAACTTCAGCTGGCCAAAGCCTGGACTGGCGTCAAGGCAGGGCTGATAGGTGTACCACTGCAGGCACTGCATGTCAGGAAGACACTGGCACTGGGTCAGCCTTTGTAGAGCACTGGGGTATTTCCTCAAAGAGGGATACCTGGAGCACTAATAGCTGCTCCTTAGACCTTTTCCATAGCCATGTTTCTACTTCTGCCAATGCTTCCCTTTCTCATGTAACCAGCATGTGCCACACTGCTACAGGAAGTTGTCTCACAGCATCCACATGGCACAGTGCAGCCACCAGCAACAGTGTCTGAGCTTCTAGCTCTTGGAAACAGTGTGGTGTGCATTACCCTTATCCAACAGACTAACACTGTGAAGACGGACTGTATCAGCCAAGGCAAAGCTCTACACAGCTATTCAGGTGCTCCCTGCCCAGAGCTGCAATATGCTCCCCAAGCATACCTAGAGCAATTACTGTGGGCTCAGAGAGGCTGCTGCACCTGACTGAGGCACAGGAGTAATTCACCTGGCGGGTTTTCATCCCATTGTAGCTAGGCTGCCACCAAGACCACACTAGCAAGTTTAAAGCTAGCTCCAACCTACATACGTAACACACATATAGCACTGAAATCACAGCATTGCCTACTATAGAAAATAATACTGAAAGTAATCAGCAGATGGCACAGCCTCCCCTGGCAAACTGCATTCAGTTTTGGTTACTAGAGCTTAAAGATCCAGCAGAAGGAGATGATGTGAAGACAGAGTCACCATGCTATCAGATATCTAGACAGTTTGGGTTGAAGAGAGACAGAAACCACAGTTTTAGAAAGGGGACTATCTCTAGGCTAATGGACAACAGAGAATATAAAGCCAGGCCCCATATTTCCTCTCATGGCTGAGAACATAAGGACAGATGGGATTCAATGAAAACAAAAGGCAATTAATTCAGGAACCATAAAAAGAAATTATGTGCTATGGAGAATAAAATTATATTGGTCTCATTGCCAGAAAATATTGAGGCTGAGAGCTTAGTTGGATTAAATAGGAGATTAAACATTTATATGGAAGATGAAGGCTGCTTACATTAAATAGTTTTTTGAAAGTAAGGGATATAAACTCTCACACTTTAGAAAACAAAGAATCACAAAAGAATAGTGCATAATGTTTTTACAATACCTAGAGGACCAAGTACTTCTATTTTTAATTATAATAGTAATGCAAGTAATTAATTTAAATAGGCCAAGAACAAAATTCCCCAGAAGGAAAGGTTGTTAAAACTTGTTTAGTACAAACTCATGCATACTATCCTTTGAAACATCTGCTGCTGGCCAACATTAGGTACAAAATACAGTCCTAGGGCAGCTGAGTGCCTCTTATCCAACCAGGCAGTCCCAGTAAACCTTGGTGGCAAAGCACATGAGTTTGGTTTGGGCCACAATCCCAGTTTAAACAGTAAAGAGCAGTAGTGGTGCTCTGAAACAGGTCAGGACAATTGAGGAGAGTATTGGCAGGCTTGCCTACAGTACCAGTAAAGTGTAAAAGTAGGCGAAGGAGATTGGATACTTCCTTCCCTCCTCCTGGCTCATGCAGAACTCACCGGGTGTTAATCACAAGGATTCTCACAGCTTTCATGGTGAAAAGATCTAGGAGAAATATTTTGAACTAGAAAATGGGAATTTCAGAAGACAATGCCAGGCCTGTATCTCACCCATGGTACATGGTCATTTATTTTAACTCCTGAAAGTCAACCAGCTAAGTAGGCTTGAGGAAATAAACTCATTGTTTCAATCCTTCAGGTGTTTCTGTGCCTGTTGGGGTTATGAATATACACTGAAAGATCAAATCAGGTTAAACTAGAGATGTGACAGCACCCAAGGCACAGAAACTCCATTTGAGCTGCTGTAGCGTGCTGGCTTGGGGGAGGCTGAAGGCAAAAGCCAAATCCCTCCATGTTTCCCAGACAGGTACTGTTGCTGCCAGCATGGAACTTGGCATTTAATTCCCTGCAAGAGCAGAGGTCTGTGACATAATTGCCCTCAGTCCTCCTGTCATTTTAATTCCTGAGAGATAAGGAGCAGTCTGCAGCTTTCGCCTTAGGGAGTCTCTGCCAGCAGCTGTAGGACAACACAGCCAGTGTGGAGCCAAGCACAGAGCTGCCAAAAGATCAAGCCTGGAACTTTAAACAGGGTTATCAGCACAAGCTGCACTGCAGACATTCAGGACGTCAAGAAGAGACACAAACAGATCAGAACTGTCTCAAAGGCCAGTTTGCATGGGTTCTGACATTTCATGTTTTAAAGGTTCCTACAATTCTTTTTTAAAATAAGGCTTCCAAGCAGGATCTTTAAACAGTCCATTGCAACACTGCTAACCCAACTTTCCTATAATCCCTATAGAGGGTAAATGGAACTCTTTAGTTTATCATTAACACACAAAAATAAAAAAAATCATCCACCTAGCCAGATCAGCACCTTTACATTAAGCTGTTTTATAGAAGACAAATTAAAGCTTTAAGCAACCACTACGTATTGAATCCAAGGCAATTTCTAGGACTCTGTCACCACATGTCCTGTAAATATGACATTGCTAATCCATGGGTTGTGCTCTACCTCCTGTTCTTGCCTTGGCAATACCTAGGTTCTGAACACCTTCCAGACAGCAGTCCAGTGCCTGACCCAGTCATTGCCTACCCTACAGTGCATGAGCGAACCCAAAATATGCACATGGTCCCATCCTGTATTATTACTCCATGTTCAGGTCCTTGGTTATACATCAAAGCTTACTGCCCCTGCTCCTGAGCAGACCTGTCTTTTCTCTGACTTGTCTATACAAAATGAGAAAGACACTGTGCACTGCACAACTGGTGATGCACTTAGCCCTTCTGTCTATTTTTATGTTTTGCTACCTACTCAAGAATAATAATTAACTTACAAAAGTGTTTAAGGCCTAAGAGGAAACTATGTTCATTTGCTCAGATGAGAGGGAAGGAAGAAATTGAAGTATTCAGTTAATAACCCCTGCTTTATCTCAGCATTATTTCTGTTCAGGCTGAGGACTACAGCTTGATGGCAGTGCTTGCATACCCTCGAGTTAAGCCAGTTTATTCCAACTGAGAGGAATGAAAAGAGAAAATAGTGCAAAGAAGAGAGGAAGCATAGCCCAGAAGTTGCAAGAATAGGACACACTTCAGGAAAGCCAGAAGGTGCTTTGCAGCACACTTACTGTTTTACACAAGGAGTGAGTAATTTGCTTGAGGTGCACCTATATCCCAGGAGTATTTCAATTTTTCATGGGAGAACTGTGAATACAGAGATATTAAAGACTAACATCACAAATAAAGGGCAGCTAATAACTATGGTGAATAAGGTACCAAGAGAAACTCCCCACAGTGCTGTTAAATCATGATTCAACACCTGAATATTTGAGATTAACATTACATTTGGATTTAAAGAAAAATAACATATCTATTCAGCCTTTTGAGGTCACATTTTTAAGTTCTTCGTAGTAATCACAAGGGCAAGAAAGCTATTGTCTCTTAAAAATTAAGATTTACTCTCATAGCAACACCTGATTCTAGAAGATGCTACTTTAAGGAAAAACAAAACAAAACAAAACAAAAACCAAAAAAACCCAAAACACAAAAAGAAACACTATATTGAGAAAGCAGCAATAAAACCACAGCATCTGGCAGCTGGAAATATGTGACAGAGGATTACAGTAGGAGGGAGAAGCATCTCTTAGCAGGGACAGACATTTAAAGGGCTCATATGGGAGCAGACCTACTATTCGGAAGAGAAAAGGTTCCCCCTAGGGACACAACAGGGAAGGAAAAAAACCCAACTGTTGGCCTGTTCCTCAGCTCAGGTCAAATCTTCTGATTTCTGGAACTGAAGAGAGTTGTTATGAAAAAATGTATTTCCACTATGCCAGGGCCTGGTGCTATCTTCCAAGCATCTCACCTCTCTTTGCAGTGTTTTTCAGCTGTGCAAACATACAAAACCAGGAATAGATTTACAGAGGAAGGTGTCTCTCCACTTCTACCATTGTTCGTGTGCCAGGGCAAAGGAACAAGTGTGATTACAGGACTCAGATAGTCAGAGCAACATAGACTTACCATTCTTACCAGTGTGCACCTGCTTTCTCTGCTCAGAGATTATGGACTAAAGTGAAAACAAAGATTTTAAAGAATCAACCATAACTGGTTTTCTCCCAGTTCTACAGTCTAATGACAAAATAAATTTCCATCAGTCACAGGCCAGAAGCCACATCCTTCTGCTGCTGCAGGGCAAAAGGATCATACATTGAACTTCCTAGAGTTCAGACATTTTCATTTTAGCTTGGTCACTTTCTTGATCCAGGGTACATATTTGCTGACCTTTGTGTACACACCAGGGGAATCCTTCCGACCACAGCCATAACCCCAGGAAGTGATCCCCAAAATGATCCAGCGTCCGTTTGACCTCTGACACATGAGTGGCCCTCCACTGTCACCTTGGCAGCTGTCCACCCTTTTATCTTCAGAGAGGTTCCCAGCACAAATCATGCGGTTAGTGAACTTCTGTCCATAACGGACCTCACAGTCTTCCTGTGGGAGAAGAGGCACCACCCCCTGCAGCAGGGTTCTCGAGTAGGACTTCCCTGGAACAGAACACACCAGCCAGACCAATTTATCTAGGGACAACAGCAGCAACCTAGAGCAACAGTACTCGGTGCAAAAACTGATATTTGTACGTTTCATGTAAAGACTGCAGCACAGAAATAGGCTGAGCTCATCATCTCTGAACCACCAGAACTTCAGAAAACAGTGCTGCAAAGCCAGACCACAAAAAAGATCTGCAAGATCAAAGAAATAGGGAAGAGGTTGGAGAAAAAGGTTAGATCAAAGGATGAGTCTTACTCCAGGTTCTGCCAACAGGTAACTTGAACCTCGTTTAATTTATTTCACCTCTCTGAGCCTCAATTTCCTCCTCTGTAGAACAAGGACTTTGTTTTCTCAAGAGAATAAATGCAGTAATATTTGTAAAGTGATCAGTTCTCAGAAAAGTTTTGGAAGATGTTTCAGAGGCATCCAAATATTATTCAAAGGGAGCTTACTTCATCTTTGGCCAGATTTGTCCCTCTTTGCTCAAATCTTTTTATTACCCCAGACAAGCTCAGAACACAAGATTCATGTACTATATTAGAGTCCAACCTTTCTGTGCCCAAGGTTTATGGTAAGCTCACAAGGTAGTAGGTAACTGCCCCTCTCATTTTGAAAGCTGGGTTTGGCTCATGGGAAGGATTCTAGCCATTAAGCCCCAGTACAGCTTAAGGGAGTTACATGGCTAAGGTGCTCCTTGATCCTCCCCAGACACCCTGAAGTGACACGTGCACCTGGTGCAACTGACTCTAAAGGCAAATGTATACTTGCAGTTAAACACTTGGGGTAACAGCTAGGGAGACAGCTGGGAGTATGGTTAGTCCAAAATCAACAGACAAGCTCCTGGGGCTATTTGCCTTTTGGCAGCAAGTCTTTCCGAACATATGGCTTTGCTCCAATTACAGTAGCCCCAGAAAGGCCTCCTTGCCTCAAGCCCTGCATTGCATCTCTGATCCTCAAAGGGGGGAGGACTGGACAGCCAGTTATAAAGCTTGATTTAGCGTTTAAAGCTGTCTGCAGACCTCGCTAATGCATCCATGTCAGGACTCCACTAAGACCAAACCATTTTAAAACATTGCCTGGAGAGAGTTAAAGATTTAGTAAGGAATACTTTCTAGAATATTCCCTGTTTCCTTTTACATAGGAAGCTCCATAGCAATGTGCTGCAAGTGAACAGGTACAGGCTCTGTCTCAAACCTAGTGCAGAAACCAGCCTTGGAGCCCAGATGTCCCTGCAGCAATATCCAGGGAGATCAAGCAAGGTAGTCTGAGAGAGATTCCTTCCACCTCTAAGCCCCCACTTCACTACTGCAGTATCATGAAGGAGGCAGAAGGTCATAGAAACATGAGGGCCTCCCACAGGCTTTGCACACCAGCTCTGCACAGGCTGCTGCTGCCTAAGGAGTCTGCTGTGAGCAAACATGCACATAGAAATGGGAAGAAAGAGAAGACTGTGGCCAAATGGCAGCATTGCTCTCTACCACAGCTTCAGAAGGATGCTATGGCAAGAAAAACTTCCCCCACGGGCAGGGTCAAGAAGCCACAAAACCAGAAGAAAACACAATGGCACAAAAATCACCTCACCTCCCCGCTTCTTATCACCATGTGCTGGAACAGATTATAGGAGCAGTAAGAACATGGCCTTGAGTTCTGCAGGCATAGATTAATGGCTCGTGTAGGCTTCTGAAACTAGACTCTCACACCTTTCTTGCCCCTCAAAGCCCCATCACTCACCTGTGTCTCCCCAGCCAGAGATGATGCAGGCTTGCCTGTTGATATCAGACTTCTCTTTCCTACTGGGCAGGCAGACAGGTAGAACATGGTGATTGAAGGAGAGACAGTGCCCCTCTCTGCCCCGCATCCGGACCAGGGCAATGTCATTATCATTGCTGCCAGCCCAGTAGTTCCTGTGGAGGACAATCCGATCCACGAGCAGCTCCCTCTCAAACTCATCCTTCACACCTGTGTGGTAATCACCCACCCGCAGCAGGTAACGCCGTACATCAACACCAAACCTGGAGAAAAATGAGAATTAAGATCTTGATACTCCTACTAAGAAGGAAACAGACTCACACAAGTCTTGGTTGCTATGAGACTGAACCACCTCCTCACAAATAGGCAAAACAATGCCAGCTACCGGACTGTAGGCCCTTATTAGCAGATGTGATAATGCCAGCAGTTGCAGTCAATGGGTGTCCCAAATCACTATTTACCATGCACAGGATTCTTTTTCCTATAAAAAGGGCTACAATAGTTGCAACAGACTTGTGACTTTATCTGTTCACAGTTCCTTAAAGCACTGAAGAACGGAAAAATCCTGGTTCCCTTTAAGTTGTAAAGTCTCAAAGTTAAGAGGGCAGGTGTAAGCAGTGAAGGATAAAGCAAGTCTATATTGAGTCATCCCCATAAGTGCTCCAAGATCACATACAACATAACCTGAAGGTCTTGGTTTATAAACTTTGCTCATGTGGTTCCACTGGGCTAGAAGATAATCTTGTATAAGGTTATTTTGTTCATTGTTGAATATCCCTCAGGATAGCCCACTCACAAACACACCTTTTGAAGCAGTGGGCTGCAGTCACCACCCAGCAGCTGCTGATCAGTGTTGCTCCACACAGCAGACGAGTATCTCGATGAAAACCTTTCAACCGTAGTGACACCTGCCATGGCCAACCACCTCTGAAGAAGAAACAGAGAGTTTATAGGTGTCACACATATGGGAGCTGTTTTCCTCTTTTCCCATCCACTCTGCCCCCTCTGGACTCAGCTGGAATGCATTCTTCCCTAGATAGGCCCACTGGTTCAAATCAAGTTCAAAAACCACCAGTGAAAATATGTTAATGTACTCATCATTTGCCAGATATTTTCAGAGCCTGTAGGAAAGCTGGAACCAGTTCTGACCTTCCCAACAATTACAGGGTAGTACCTGAGAGACTTGTTTCCACCTATGATCCTTTTCTTGCGACGGTGAAGCAGGCGCATCCCACACACACCAGACTCTGGACCTGCACAGCCAAAGTTAGAGCATTTGGGTAGATACCTTCAGCTTAAGTAACAACATTTACTGTCACAGAGCCAAATACCATTCACCTTCCCTAAGGGCATTAATCCTCATGGTAGCTGACTGCATTATGTTGTGCATATGGAATTCATAGGTTTGATTCCATGAGTTCCCTCAGTTTTGGTGGGGGTGCTTACCTGCAGTATCTGATCTTAAGCCAGGAATGGGACTTCTACAGCTATGTCCTCAGTACTCTAAAACCCAAAGTCTGCTCATAGTTACTGCCCTAAGGAAGGGTACAATGACTTGGTTGTGGGGAAGTTCTGCAGGCTCAAAGGCCTGACGTGGGTGGAGCCCCTCAGACTAGTTGGGAGCACTCTGTGCTCCTAAGAATAGACAATGAAAACAAGTTAAAAGTAGGAGGTGCAGGACAGGACATGTTTATTTTGAAGGTAAAGCTTCAGCCAAAGAGAACTACTACAGGGAAAAAGCATAAAGGCATGCAGAGATCCTACAACTGAAGGTCCAGATTTCTGCATAGAAGAAATGGGCATGTTACCTGTTCTCACGATATCTTGAGCCTTCTCTTCCACATAGTCACAGATCACACCAGCATCCTCACTGTGCCAGCAGCTGTGAATCCCAGTGTCAGGCCTGACACACTGCCCTAGAGTGTGCTCCATGCCACTGCATTCTACGTTGTCCAGATGGATGGGCCCATGGCCTTCACCAAAATAAGCCATTGCCCTGGCTTTTGCTGTACCACTGCAATTAGAAAGAGGGTAGCTAATCTGCAGTAAGCAGGAGGCAGATGAGCCTGATGCACCAGAACATTTTAAGACAAATAATATTTATGTGTCACTCCATACATAGACAGTAATACAGTGAGAATAGGACCCTACTCCCTCAAGCATATGTGGGTAAGACAAAACCAAGAAATGGAGACCCCGGAAACAGGTCCAGAAAGAAGCAAACCCCCTGAGAGCTATTTCTGTCTGAAAAAATGCATGTACTACAGCTCTTACCTGAATCCCAGTTGCCTGCAAACCACTGCAGCATCTCTGTCTGTCCAGCCATCATCACAGACGCTGCCCCACTGCCCATTCAGAAATACCTCAACCCGTCCCTCCTTGGTGCTTTCTCCATCCACTAGCCGTACAGGAGGCCCCGAAGGAGAAAATACATGGGTTGCTGCAAACAAAACACCAGAGAGTGTGAGGTGCCGAGAACTTGGGTCCTATAGGAAAAGATAAATTCCAGATATCATTAACCTTAAAAAAAAAGAAAAAAAGGAAAAAAGGACTGTTTCTATATGAAGACAATTCACCTCTGTGCTGAATCAGAAGTCATATTCATTTATTTAATACATACAGGAAATCATTAGTGGATCATATTCTGAAAGCTGAGTAAAGTGGAGAACAAGAACAGAAGGAAACTTATTAATTCCTGAGCCAAGAGTGGACAAGCTAAAACATGCCTGGGAAAGAAATCCATTAAATTATAAAACTATTATATCATTCTAAGCAAGAGAAAAGTTCTACATCCAGGAAAAACAAAAATGTTGGATGCTGTCTATTTCAATAAAGAATGTCTGACAGACTCTAAAGTCTCCTGTAGTAGGGAAAGGGGAGAGTATCAGGCCTCATATAAATGAGCAAATTATGCTAACTTGAAATACATTCACTATTTTAATTAAAAGTGTGCCAAATTTCCGCACAACAGCCCCTTGCACCTGAAGTCCTCATGTCTAGGCAAGGTGTGACACTAACCTAACTACACCAGTTTCCTAAAGGGTCTAGTTAAAGAGGTCCCATGTTCCCACAGACACGGGGCTGGGGCATGTCATCAGTGAGCAATGGCACACTAAGGCATCGACCCTTCCTCAGCCCCTCAGGTTTGTTTCAGAGACTGTCAACACAATTCTCTCAGTTTCTCTGCAGGTCTGGCCATAGGTCTGGTAGAGCCACAGATCTGTGGCTCTGCCTCAGGACAAGCCAGGGATCGTTCCTAGGAGGAGTCCTCAAAAAGCAGCCCCCTCACTGAAACAGCACAGGGAAAACTCCCACATCTGCCAGAGTTTCCAAAGGAAGAGACCAGCAGGTGACACTTCCCCACCATCCAGGGCAAGAAGCAAGGCAAGTTACCCAGGCTGCCGTCCATGACTGTGTTGCTCTCTGGGGAACAGCGGACTGCCACATCCTCAGCGTGTGAGCAGTCATGCTGCCCCCAGTTGCTGTGGGGACAGTCCAGGAGGGACAATTCTGTCCCCACACAAGCCACATCATCCAGTAAGATAAAGCCTTGGCCAGCAGCATAGTCCCCTTCAGAGGCCAAGGTAGCAGGACCACTAGAGGAAGGAAACAGAACATAACATCAGATTCATTAAAACTCATTAATCCTACAAGCTCAGACCCAAAGGGAAACTCCCCTGCAGAGCTCAACTGTGATACTGGTGGCCTCCTGACCTAAACCGCTCAGTGACACACAGGATGGCAACCAAGCAGCTTGTACATCTCACCGGCTTCAGTTGTCAGAGAGGGCCCACTCAGACCAGTCCATTTTCCAGCATCTGGTCAAAGGCACAGTCACACAGTCATAATAGCACAGAGGGCCAGCTATAGCACAGAGGCTGCTTTGCAGACATGAGACCAGGTACATCCATTTGGGGACAGCCTAGCATTTAAGTAATTCTACTTCTTTTTATAGGAAGCAGCTACCTGGAATTGAAATGCAGAAAGCTGCAAACTTTTAGGTACTATAAGAGATGACAAACACAGTGTGAAGCTGAACTCAAAGGGAATAATTTAGTTTAGGCTGTTTCAGTCTATAAAGCTGAAATTTTACAAGGATACCCTAACCATATTAAAAAATCTACAAAAAAACCTCAACCCTTTAGTGGCTCCAAGACTACAGAATCCTGATTTTAAATCTTCCTCACACTCATACCTGGAGGGAAAACAGTTCAGCAACAGGCTGAAAATCCCTAATACTACTCTTTCTTTTTTGCCCTGATAGTCTTTGTTCAACTACTGAAGCAGGTGATATGCCTAGCTGACAGAGCAGAGGGGGTGGCAGTGCTGAGCTGATACACCTGCAAATTTAAGGAGTGTTAAAGAGAACTTTCTGACTTTGGTGAGGGGCTCCTAAAGACAATATCAATCTTGTTATTTGCTTTCAAAACCGACTGAGGCAAGAGATAATGAAGATTTCCACACCACACACCCCCACCCCCCACACCCCCCCGGAAAGGATGTGGATACCTGTTAATCTTTCCCAAATAAAAATGTATAATGGTAATAACCCTTCTAATGAAGACAACACTGAAGCATTAAGGTCCAACCTATTGCAGTGAAGGGTGATGGTACCTAATCCTTGAACTTAGGAAGCACAGACACTACACACACTCTCATTCCTACCTGAAGCCCAGCTGCCTGCAGACCACGTGGGCACCAAGGTCTGTCCAGCCATCATCACATACTGTGCCCCAGTCTCCATTGTGATAAACTTCTACCCTGCCTTCGCTGTGGCTGCGGCCACCAGCCAGCCTGACAGTGCCCTCTGCAAGGGGTGGGGGAAGAAAAGATCAGCACTCAGCAGGGGAGAAAAGAAACAGCCTGGGCCCCCCCTGCTGAAGTCTCTGCACAGCCCGTGAGTGAAAGAAACCAGACACAGATATCTGTGGGTACTCAAAACCCAAACATCCATTGCTCCCAAACATACCCATGTGCCAGAGGAGGATTCATCTCAGCCTTTCCATGCCACCTGTGGAAAGCCATGGGAACACCACCAATACTCTGATATATTCTCACCCGCTGCTTGCTCTTTACCTCCACATCTGGCAGCCCTTGTGGGAGCCATACGTAGAAGCCCTGCAGGATCTTCAAGTGGTGGGGTTACTGCTGAGCAAGCCTTGTATTATGGGAGTAAGACCAGCACATTTGACTGGCATAGGGCTGTAGATCTGTACCTGTGAAAGGATCACAGGAGACTCCAGCATCTTCAATGTGGTCACAGTTTTGCTGTCCCCAGTCACTCTTCTTGCACTGGTCAAGTGAGAGTTCATTGCCAGAGCACTCCACTTCATCCAGCAGGATTGGGCCAGATCCCTGCCCATAGTGAGCCCATGACAAGGCTTTTGGGTTCCCACTGCAAACATTACAGACATGCTCAGTGAGGAAGGTCAGTCTTGTGCCCTCAGATTCTGCCTTGCATGGGGACTCTGCTATGATAGGTCAGTGTCCTCCCATAGATAATCTGTATTTCTTACACAGTGGTGTTGCCAACTGATAACTGAAATATGTTATTGGAAAGTTTTGTAATGAGACCTTCCAACACATAACAAAGACACATCTGCAACATGAACAGTTCAGACACCTGGGGACTTCTGAGGACAGTGATGTTTCAATCTCAGTAACAGGCAAAACTCCCAAAATTTGAGGGATTTCAAACTTGAATTGTCTATTTTAAACAATTTTACACCAATGTGATTTTCAAGAATGCTCAGTATACAACAGCTCCCATGTTAAGCGCTGAATGGCACACAGGAGAATAAGGTGCTCTGTCTTGCTTTCCATCTGAAGAGGATAAGGGCAGTCAGTGAAAAGTAAGTTCACATATAAAAATCACAAGGGCAAGTTATCACTGAGGCAAGAAGATTTGCATTATAAAATAGTGAACAGGGATAAACACAAACAAACCTTACACAGGAATACACCAACTTTTTTTTTTTTTTTTTTTCCACAGCATAAACCCATAAAACTGACAGGAATTAAGTACAAAATCCCTTTATAGAATGCTCTCACATTCTTTATTCTGCCTACTTCTATTACCACTCCATAATGTACAGTGTGGAAATTACCTGAGTCCCAGCTGCCTACAGACTACTTCAGCATCCCGGTTGTCCCACTGGTCATCGCAGATGGTACCCCACTTGCCATCATGGTAAACCTCTACTCGCCCTTCAAAGCTTTCCTTTCCCCCAACTAAACGCAGTGGGGCACCTACACCTGTGCTTCATGAAAGGGAAAGAGAGCACAACAGAACAAGACAAAGACAAAGCACATCCAGCAGTTCAGGGTGTAGAGTCATTCACTAGCCAGAGGGGCTTTTGGGATGCTCTTGTCCCACCCTACCATATCCTCCCCTCTAGACTCCCCCAGAAGCATCCAAAATTGCAGCCCACAGTATGAGGTATTGCTGATACAGGGATGGCTCTTTATCTGGCTGCTACAATGACTAGGACTTTGCTGCCTGCAGACAAAAACCTGGTTTGATAAAAAGAGCATGTGGTCATAAGCAACAGCAATCTTTCAGCAATTGTAGAAATATGACCATTCTGAGTATTTGGGATTGGAAAAGGATGGATAATTTTCCACTGGAAGGAAGATAATGACCTGCATAGCAAATTGAAGAAGAACATTCTTCAATTATTTGCTCTCAACAGCTTCATGACCTTAGATTTTACATCCTTTCAGCAACACTGATGCAAGAAACATGGAGCGAACCTCCCCTGGAGATTTACCTTCTGGAGGGACACAGGTTACCATGGCAGTCCCCTGGTTACAAGCTCCTGACATAGCTTCCTGATAGTCACACTGCAGCAGGGCTTTCTCATCCCCATGGCAGTTTGCTGACTGCAGGTGCAAGGGAACAGGCCATGGTCCAGGACGATTCTTCTTCCCAGCTGTGCCAATCTCACTGGTACAGAGAAAGCAACAGAGCAATGAAAAGCCATAGCACTGAGCAATTTACGAGTTCCCCTCAGTTCTTGGGACTCTCCAGTCCAGTTGCATCATTTCACATCCCAGTGAACCCAGTTGATTAGGAGTGCATAAAGGGGTTGCCATTTACAGCCTAACGGGAAAGCACAAGCAAGCACCTCCCACCACCTAACCTGTTTTGTGTTCCTACTTACTGCAGCGGAATTGGTCTGGTCAGAAGTAGCACCCTTGTTGAGAGTGATGAACAAACCCATCAACTGATTCAAACATCCAAATATCACCTTCTTCCTTTTCTGTGGACCTTGCTATTTGGAAGTTTGAAGTTCCAAATCCCAGATTCCCAAAGAGGGTTCACACTCTCAAAATTTCTATTAGGTCACTACAGTAACTCCAGCTGGTAATACTAAAAAAGGGGATATGATCTCACATCAGTCTGGAACACCAAGCAGAAAATTACTGTTTTAAAAAATTCTTGCAGATCCCAATTGGGGTTGGGCATAGCCACGGAAAGAAAACATTATGAGGGGACCCTGGTAAGTGGGAAATGAGCCCACAAAACAAACTCCTCTACCCCAGCCAACACACTATGCCAGAGGAGCTGTAACCACAGAGGCTGTTCTTTCAAAGGCCACATGAGCATCTAGCTCTTTGCAACCAGACTGAGGTTCCTACCTGAGACCTAGCTGCCTGCAGACAACGCTGGCATCCCAGTCAGTCCAGTGGTCAGCACAAATGGTGCCCCAGAGTCCACTGAAGTACAGCTCCACAGTACTATCTTCTGCCAACCGCACAGCACCTTCCAAAAGAGAGAAAAAAAAGCTGCTATATTCTAATGGGGGTTTCAGACCAGGAACTCGTGGACTTGCATGTAGCTGAGCGGAGCTGCACTTTGCTTCGCTCATCCCTGTTTTGCTTCTGCTGTTACTGAAGTGACTTGTCTGAAGGAGTGCAGGATGTGGCACCTTCCCAGTTCCAGCAATGCCTGCTGAGGAGGATGGCTGGTGCTATGTTCTTTTCAAAGTCATGGTAATATCAACAGGAAACTTGGCTTCTGCCACAGCTCCTGGATTCTCCTTCTGTGAAATGGGGATGATTTTACATGCTACCTTGAAAAAGTGTATGGAAATAGCAGGCTCTCTAATTCCTTCTGACACTCTATTGATTTATTTTCCATCAGCCACCTCACCTATGAAAGTCACTGTTGCTACAGCTAGAGGTTCAGGAAGAGCAGGTGAATCCTCTTTAATTTCCCTAAGAAAAGTAAGTGCCAATGTAAATGCCCTTTCAATTCCCACTGCACCACAAATACCTCCTCAAATCTCCTTGCTCAGTTATGTATTGGGAGAAGGATACACCTGCTGTCTGTAGTACCTCAGTGCAGGCACACAGCACACCTAAACTTGTGTCCTTAACTTTAATGAGGCCATCTTTGGAAGTACTTCCACTGGCAAGGGAAAAGACACTGTAATTTAATTTATTAAACTGGTACTTCAACTGTTCTTCAAAATGTGAGAAAAGCAAGGAAGGTCAGAAAACAGAAGGACAAACAAAACATTTCCAAGAATACTGCACTGGAGTCAGTGCCTTGAGAGAGTTCAGCTCCCTTGCATGCCTCAAAGTAAGCAGCAGTCCTTGTTCAGTACCATAAGGAATTTTAAAGCAAGCCTATGACCTACCTTGCCACAGAAGATTTACAAACCTAGCCACAGATTTTTCCTTGTTGTGTTTGAACTGCAACACTTATATGAGCAGAGCTCTGATATGGACTCTTAAGGAGCAGGAGTGGGTTGTTTTCCACATAACTTAAACTGTTTTCAAAGTGGCATAAGTTAACAGTAAAAAAACCCAAAAACCACTCTCCTTGTATGAGAATAAAAACATCTATACAAGGCATTATGTCTACAGCAGCTTAAATCCACCCCCTACTATATACAGACGTTCTTCTCCCACACAGGCTAGCCTCTAGTCCTAATTATTTTGACATTTTGGGACAGTTACTGTACTGTGCTTCTGTCACAGGGTGTCTCACCTGCTGCTTGCAAGTCTGTGCAGCACACATTTCTGGCCTGAGCCTCCTGTGACAGTGCTGCCTGGGCACTGGCAGAAACATGCAGAAGACCTTACCTTGGTTACAGTCACAGTTAGCCCAACCGATGGCCCCTGACGCAAGCCGGTAGAAGCACCAGGGTGTAGTTCCCCCATCTGGGTTCCTGCAGTGGTTGTGGTCCCCCAAGCCACGGTCTGGGTACTGCTGAACATAGTCGGGGAACTCTGCCCAGCTGAGGCACTCTGCCCCGGCCTCAGTGACTGCCAGCGAGCCATTGTAATACCCAAGAGATCCGACACCACACACGCTGGATGCTGGGTACAGGAAGGGAGCTGTTAGCATCACTTAAGGCATCACACACTGAGGCTCAGACAATGTGGGAGATACCAGCTGATCTCCCAAAACACCTCCTGTGTCTGAAGTCTTGATTGCTACTTGCTTGGTTTCAATTCTATCACTCTTCAAGGCAGCTGCTCAAAGAATGTTTATAATACGTACTGTCTAAAAACCAAAGTGATCTGAAAGTCATAAATTGCCCAGATAGACCTTTGAAATGTGTTAACTCTGGGCCCAAACATGGACAATTTGAACCAGTTCCCACTACTGTTTATTTCAATAGATGTATTCCCTTACTCTGAAGCAGCACTTGAGCCTGGCACACACTCCTCCACTTCCTTCCCCACCTGCTTTGACATCTGAATAGGATACTCTTAAATTTAATCCTGGGCTCTTTAGAAGATTAATTGCCTATCTAAATTGATTGAAACTGAGAAGAATTTAAAATTAGCTGTAATTTCATTCTATAAAGCAGGAAGGTGGGAAATTACATTGTATTTCATTGTATGTATGTTACCTATACATATTAGCATATCACCTGTCTTATCTGAACTTGGCCAATGTATAGGAAGGGAAAGGAAACCTATTCTGGGGGGAAGTGCAGGTGCCAATGTTCCAGGTGAGTACCCATGTGAAATATCTCATGCAAAGAAACCCCAACAATTAATTTAATATGGTCTTTAACAAAGAAGATAACTCTCCATTCATGACCCTGAAATAAGAAAGCGGGAAAACAGAACCAGATTTGGTGTGAGAGTGGGCTTTTTAGAGTCCATAACATGGGAAGAACAGGCTCAGAAAAGGATAACAGCTATAGCTCTGTTCACTGAATAAACAAAAGGAAGACAACACTCTTGGAAAACCCTTCCGCCATAAAGACACGCAGTGTAAACAGCAAGGGTACAAAGAAACTTTGCCTCATGCCATTTGCCTTCTAGCCACTGACAAGCCCAGAGGGGGTAAGTGACAGCTGAAGGTTAACTGCAAGTTACAAAAATGAGAAGCAGTTACAGGTAGGTGTCTGGAAAACACACTGTGCACTTTACATCAACTGGTACCTTCAGAGGGGGTGTATGAGAATTCACTGAGGCAGAGAAAGAGAAAGAGAAAAAAGAACATGTGGGAGGAGTAGAGAACTGCAAGAGTACTAGACATGAAGAAAAGAAAGTGGTCTGGCCATTTTGGGGAAGGATAGAAACATTGAAGCAGGAGAAAAGATTGAAGAAGTGATGGAAAGAAAGGAAAAATGCCAGATAGCAGTGGTTCATTGTACCTATGGTCTCACTGCAGGAAAGAATCTGCCCGATGACTGAATTAATAACTTCTTGTTCTTACCTGCACTCTGCAAATGGTTTTGGTTGGGCTGGGATCCCAGGAAAGCCTGGAAAAAGAAACAGAGCAAAAGCCGAGAGATGATTATCCAATGAAATAAACATGGGCATGTCCTAAAAGCAGCTCATCCTTTTGCTGCTTTAGGCAAACACACCCCACTCTACCCATTTCTCCTCTTCAAATCCAATCAGCACTCTGCCCACTAGCAACAAAATGAGTAACTACTGGCCTGCAGAGATTTAGCCTTGATCTAAGCACAACATTACAGGGCTCTGCTTGTTCTTTTCCAATAGAATTGGAAGCCTGAGTGAGATGCCTATAGAAAGAAAAGCTAGAGGAAAATCACTGTTATCAGTAAGAAAAATAATGAATAACCACTCATTCTCTCTCCATTTATAGGCAAGCCATCTATGGCCACAGCAGCAAACAGAGATATATCTACAGGATGGGATGACGCCTCCAGGTATCTCTGTTAAAATAGTAATAAGCATCCATGTATAAAGTGGGGAACACCTAAAGAAGAAAATCCATCAAGGCTTTTTGACGATTTTTGTTTTAATAAATGACAATATGATATGGTCTTATTATCCAAAAGGGGTTAAATAGCTAAGAACAAAAAATATGAAACAAAGCCCTCAGAATTCCAGCATCCTGTCTGGCCCCAAAACTGCATTTCCTCTTATAGGCAGTGTTTTGGTGTTTATAACTTGACTGCTGGCTGAGAGATAGGGATCTCCACTCAATACCATTACATGGTGTGCAGGCAGGTGCAAGATCTTCAGAGATGCAAAATGAGAAGAAACTGCACATGTTTCTGTTAGCTCCTTGTAGTTGAATTCATTTCTAAACACTTAATGAACATTGCTAATACTTTTATATGAACAAGGGGTTGTAATTCACAGAACAGAGGTGTGCATATAAAGAATACTAACTAGTATTCTTCCAATACTAGTTGGAAATGGTTCTTTTTTTCTCCAAAATGCAGCAATTTTGCTCCCCTCATCTTCACCTCTCCTTGGAAAATGGGAAGAGTAAAATTTGGAGTTAAACCAAATCTACCTCTGGAATAAATTGAGATAGTTCCCATAGATACCTGACAAGAATGACATCTACTCATGGCAGATGTAATTTTCAAATCAAGGTTATGAATATGGTCCAGCAAGCGTTGACAACCATGGCCAAGCTCCAGCATCACCCTCCAGAAGTCAGAATGTGACACTGCATATTGAAGATGAATTCCGGACATGGTTCAGAAACAACAGATCAGATCTCAGGTGTGTATGCACAAAGGGATGCTTTTCAGCCAAAAATCCATTTATCTGCATGTATCAGGCTGTTGCAAGCCCACATAATGGTCTGTGAGCCAACAATGCTGAAGGACTTATCTGAGGATCTCAAAGCTCTTTTGCAAAGAGAGGAAAGTGAGCTAAACTATACTTTTGTGAGTGCACCAAACAGGTGACTGAGACACAGTCCAGGTCCCCCAACTCCTAGCTTTTACTGTGCACCTGCACACACATGTAAGCCTGCAGGCAATAGAGGGATGGATTGAACTAATAACAGGCTGTATATGAAAGCCTGAACCTGCTCTTCTTGGAGAAAGACCATAAACAAAAGAACTGCAGTATAAGTAATATGCTTCCCTTCTGATGAAAGATTAGTTGCTGCCAGGTCCCGTAGCAGCTTCCAAAATCCCCTGACACTGACCGTCACCACCACCAAATTTTAGTGCAGACAGCCTGTGCTGCAGTCGCTGCCCCAGGTCTGTGTGGCTATAAATCATCTGTCCACAACAGCAATAGGGGTAATCAGTCAATCAGCAAAGAACAGAAACAAAGGGTCTCTCCCGCCGGGGTCACTGCGGTGCCTGAGAAACATAGGAAACCCAAGCCAAAGCATCTGCAAGCTCTTGTGCTTTTCTTTCCTTTTCTGAATTTCATATGCACAACAGAATAAATCCTTCCCCAAGCCCCCAGCCCTTCCCAGAGACCACAGCTGCCTAGATGCTTTGGAAAACATACTCGGGTAATAACAAGATACACTTACAGTGAGGATATTAAAAAGCCATGTGACTTCTTACAAGCAAACAGAAGAATAACCATTTCTTACCGCCACACATCTGAGACAGGATAACAGACTCAAGAGCCCGAGTACTCTGGGGATCTCCATCCTTCCACTACAAAGTGGGCAGAAGCTTCTTCAAGCATCACGTTCTCTCTCGCTCAGCTGCTGCCTCCTCCTCGGGCTCTGCCGCTGGGTTTCCCCGGGAGCAGGGCACTAGCCGCTCCGCACCGGAGGGAGCGGGATGCCTCTTCCATTTCTATGCAGGGAAAGGGATGGAAGGGAAGGGGTCAAAGTTCTCAGCAGCATCTTAGAATTTCACTTTCCCCTTCGTCTCGCCACTTCTTCTTGATTCATCTTTTCAGAAAGGGGAAAAGGAGAGGAGAGAAATGAGGGAGGAGAACATGTCCCAGAATTTCTCTAGCACCCTTATCGACGGGAGGAGGCAGGCGCGGACGGGTAGGGCGCAGCCCTCAGCCTGCTCCTGCACCCCGTCCCCTCCCTTTTCCCGGGTGCGCGCTGCTCCTTGCCTCCTGCCCCTGCCCCCGCCTTCCCACAGCCGCCTCGTCCTTCTCCCCCTGAGGCACAAAGGCTACAGCTACGCCTGGGAGCTGGGCTGTGTCCTGCCGCAAAACTCCAGCTACAAAACTGGGAAAGGAAACGGCTTGTGCGTGCACACTTGCCAGAAATTAGACTTGTTGGAAGGAATCTGGACTTTATCCCCCCAGTGCTGCCTCCATGATTAGCTGCTCGCAGCTTCCCAAGGTCAAACTCTCCTCAGATTTGAACCCAGAATACGTTAAGCAACTTCCAGATGTCCCCATAGAAAACCCACAGGTGGCACAGCCCTCTCCAAGGTGCATTCCCAGTTTTCAGCCCTGCATCTTGCCATCATGAGTATTGCTTCCAGAGACCTTTTCCATCAAGTGTTTCCTTGACCTTGGGCTGTAAAGCTATCTTCATTCGATTGGCTAGGATGCTTTCCAAAGGGTTGATCATTATTGTATTGCTATGAATAATTCTATGGGGGTTTTAGTGCTTTTGGCTTACTGCTTATGAATTAGGGTTAAAGGCTACAACAAAAGTTTTAGATTATTAAATCTAGGAAGGGAATTCATCCATTTAAAGCTGTTCAATCTTGGAAATTTTTTTATATTTTCTCTGTGTTGCTCCTTAGCTCAGTCTAATAGGCACTTCCTGCATCTATGTTCTTAGAGAGATTAACTCCTAGTGTTCTACAGCATGAAACATGAAGGTCACCTTAAGAAATGAGCTCACTTCTGGCAAAGTCTGCTGAGCAGCATTTCCAGAGACACCTTCAGCATAAAAACAAGGAATGGGCTGATAAAAAAATCCGTTGGCTTGACAAAAAACCCTCTTTTTTCATCACTCGCTTATTGCCCATTACTCACTCCACATGACAGTTTTGTGTTGCCTCATCCTCAGCCACTCACCAAATGCAAGGAAATTCTGCTACATGCTGGATCTTTCACAAGAGTCACAGAGTGGCAGGAGAGCATCCTTTCTGGAGTGGATTTGTACCACAGCACATTCTGGACACAGTGCATTTGGCCAAGAATTACACTCAGTTTATTAGGAGCAAATCTATATCCTTGTAGTGGGGGAGGCAGATCATCAGGGCAACAGATGGAAATAGCTTAGATGCTACAACACACTGTAACTCTCAAGCAGTACTGGCAGAAAGGAGCAAAATGATAATATGGGAATGTGTTGGAATTTAGAACCACTTAATCCAGTAAAAACAAAGGATACACCAGAGTCAGGAACAGAATATCTACTAGCATTCAGACAAATCTGATCCTTAGTCAGCAGCAGAGAGGTTGTTGATGCCCCTTCAGAAGTCCCATAAGACACATACTAATAGGGTTAAAAACCTCCAGCAAAAGCCTGTACTGGCCATCTCTCACAGTAGCTTGTAAATTGCTTCCCTCTCAAGGCAAGGCTTTCCTAGATAAAGCGATTTCATAGATAAAGAGATTTTAAAGGAAACACAGACCAGTGCCCCAGAAACAACAGAAGTCTGAGTTTGTTTGACTGACAAACTGTGCAAAGATGGGGGGGGCCTGCAGTCGTCTCCTCTGTGGAGGGTCCTCTTTTGGAACTATTTCCTTCTTGCCAAGACTCCTCCTGGTTTTCTGGCACATGTAGTGCCATTTTCTTGAGAGGTGGATCTCAGATTCTCAAAAGCTCCTCATGGCTACATGGCCCTTTCCAAGGTGGAGAGGAAGAACAAGAAGGAAATTATACCAACATAACTACAGCAGTTTACATAGGTAACATATCTAAAGATAAGGTAAAACAGATCTTGAACTTTGTGTGGGCAAGTTTGAAGTAGTTGTAAATATCTAAGTCCACTATTTAACACAAATCACCTTCTCACCCTGATATAAGCAGTTCTATAATGTCTATGATTCCCTACGGTCTTTCCGCCTTGATTTTTCCATATTATTCTGTATTGACCCTTATGAACCAGAAATACCATCTTCTAAATGTTCTTGGCTCTCTGGAATTCAACTTGTTTCTCCTGAACTGTGAGGACTACTATTCATCAAAACCAGATGAAATATCAATGCTTCCTCCATAAGAGATCTTCAGTGAAAGCCTAAAAAGAGAGGTGGTTAATAGCAAACATATCCAGAACTGGTCTAATACTCAAGTTGTAAGGAACAGGAGTAAGATCAAGGAATTCCAGCAGATTTGCTTAAATCCTGTAAATCCGACTTAGGAGGGTAGAACAGCTAGTCAGCTTTTGTTTAATTCTTGATCTCTGCAGCTTCTTAACCAGTGGGCTCAGCACCAGAACCCCCAGTTTTCTTTTCTTCCCCAGCAACAGCATCACGGGGTGGTACAAATCCTGAACTCAGAGAGGACAATGTCACTCACTGTAGTTACACATATGAACTATTAATGGAATGATCCCCAATGTAAGCATGTCACAGAACGTGTTTAAACATGCAATACAAGCTTAACAGTGAGATACAGGGAAATGGCAGCAGCTCAAATTGCCAAGAGCAATCAGTAACTGGAGGTTTCTCGGTTACAGCACGGGATCCTGAGACAAAAGAATTGCTAGAGTACTTCTTTCACAAGAAGCACTGTAAAATCTGGGTGCATTTGAAAAGTATTCTCTTTCATTCCTTCTTCCTCCAAACAAATGCATTTCTTTAAGGACTAGAAAACCTTAGCATAGTAATTTCAAGCTTACAGTAGACATGTAAAAAATGAGAAAAAACCCCAGATAACTTGTGAAGTTCACTGTGAAGCAGTAAAATCAAAAAATGGCTGTCCAGATTAGTGGGAGACATGCAAAACTTCCAAGTAAGAACAGAACAAAAAAGTGTTAGTTTCTCTGCTACAGCCTCTTATATAGAGAGTTCTTCACAGGCACTGGAATTTGGTACATTTAGCACATCTGCTAGCTTAAGAGATGCAAAATTATACTTGTATTGTAAGTTTTAATAAAAAGAAAGAAAAACCATCATCAACAGAAGTCAAGTTACAATTCATTGGTCCCTCACTCCCAACTCAGCTTGTCTCCTTCAGACACAAAGAATCAGCAAGTAGCTCTCCTTTTCAGAGAGCATCTTTTGGACTGAAAATCCAAAACGTCATAGAACCAAAGTGTTTTCCCAAACTTAGATTTGGAAATCATGTTCTTACTGACTTCAAGTCCTCTGAAAGACCCAGTTATGCCATAATAGCAGCAATAGAATAGGCTACCCTGTGGGATAAGCCACTAATAAGCCATTGTAACAGGTAAACAAAAATTGCTTCAGTAACTTGAAAGTGTACACTTGACCAGTATTTATGTGAAGAACAGAAATCAGTCTGGGGCTCCAGAGAAGTCAGCTCCAACTCCATGAAAACTCTAGCTACATGCAGGTAGCCATAGTCTGTGTGCTCCCGACTTCCTTCTTACTCTTTTTCTTTACATCCAAGAATTAGTGACATAAATGGTTGTATCATTAGTTCTCTGAGGCCCTGCATTTTTCTAACCAATTAAGTACTGGTCCTAAAACAACAGGGACCTGCCTGCAGTTTTGTGGTACTCCAGTGATAAAAAAATCTAAACAAATAATTAATTACATAATTTCAGTATCAGTCCATGCTTGAACTTTCTCTTCCCCTTTTAGCTTTTTTACCAAAACAATGGAGCATTTTCTTGTGGCTTATGAGTTGCTCAAGCCAAACAAGAGTTTTACGTTTTTATTATAGTACAGGCAACATAATGGATCTGACATGGCACCATATCTGTCCCACCTGCAAGGCAGAGGGCCTAAATCACAAGCTTCTGTGTTAAAGTTATATTTGATCCTTACCAATGTATTGTGTATTAACAAGGTATTTTGCTGAAGATTACTTCCTCATTCTACAGCCTTCTTGTACAGCAGCAGGAATTAAAAAAATTTTAAGAGGAATCAAATTGCATATACATATGTGTAGGAGTATGAGTCATGAGATTACTAACACTTTTAAATTGTCTCAGTGTCTGGGCCTAAGCACTTTTTGATAGCAGCTCAAAAGTTAGTTAGGCAGGAAGCTTATACATGAGGAAAAGTCACCCCCTAACTGTTGGAAAAGGCATTTACATGCATTCCTAGAAGATTTCATTTCTCAGTGAGGGCCTGACTCCACACTGTGGCTAGTGTGGAGTACACTCCAGAAATCTCAAGACCAGAAGACCCAAGAATCTCATGAACAAAGTCAGCTGATGGTCAAGATGGGTGGGTTTTGCTCTGGAAACGGAGATGTGGTCAAGATCCACACAGCAGCGCTGACAGATACCACCTGAAATCAAATGCTCACTCAAGTTTACTTTTCACTTTTTTTGCCAAAGACACCAATTTTAATTGCTTGTCTGCAGTCCCTTTAATCAAGCACATTATACATAACGTGTGATCTGAGGAAACCTCCTCAGGAGCTTGTTCACTTTGCTTGAAGTTAAGTCTCCCCTGGATGACAGGATGTCCTCATTTTGATTCTTGCGCTCTTTCTGAAAGAGAAAAAACAATCTCAAAATATTACCTTTGCTTATTTGCAGAGCTGATGCCCACCCCCAAAGGCTACTACCAATTTTACTGGGATGTTTCTTTCAGAAGAATGCTATTTCTTTAAGGAACACTTAGAGCAGCACTTAGTTCAATACTCACTAGGCTTTCAAAAGCTGATGAACTTTAAATGATATGACTGACTGACATCTTGCAAAGATGATTCTTCCATATTCTTAGTTAACAATATTATAAACTTATAGCAACAACTCAGATTTTTTTCTTTTTAATTTCTGTTATTCGATTTGATTCTTTGTAATCTACCAAATAAACTGGGGACAATTTTTTATTTATGCTGTCAAACAGCAACAATAAATGACTATTTATTAAATGATGGTACTGTTAATAAAAAAAATTGAAACTTGAAATCAGTTTAAGGAGAAGTTTAGTACATATACTTACCTGTAGTTTGCTTTTGAAACTGACTTGATTTCAAGTTTATCATACAGCTGGAAACCTCTAATTTCCAAGCAATATGAAATTTATTTTTCAAGAAAATGTATAGCCTTCAAAGAAACAGCCTTAAAGAACTCCTGATTTTTAGAGAATCAAGAACAGCTGTAACTACCCCTCTGTATCCTGAAAATTCTGTTTGTTATTAGGATTATTGAAACTACTGGTTATGTCTCTACCACCTTGTCTCCACCCTCACCCCTGCAAGCACAGAACTATTTACAGATTTATGACAGATTGGAATTTGGGAATCCAAAATTTCTTCCACTGTTTAGATAATGCAGGTATTGGATTGGCACCCAAGTCAGCTATTTCTTAATTTTATGAATCAGAGCAGTTGCAGAAATTTACTTACACTGTACATCTCCCCAACTACAATATAATCCACATCTCACACCACACAAATCAGTTCTACCTAACAGCTCCAAATTGTGCACTCATTCAGAACTATCGTATCATATGGAGAAGAACAGTGACTGTTATTATTTCATTAGGCCTGAAGCTCTAGAGATTAAAAACTGAAGAAATCAAAAGAAGTGACCTAAGTCAGTGTCAATTGAGAGCAACTGAGCTCTACTTCAAGAATTTGACAACACAAAAAGGACTGGATGGGACTATTGTTTCATCCCTAGTTATAACATACCAAACATCCAGTCCCTTCCTACAGTCCTTTATTTTCATTCTAATTTAATTTAATTTATTTTCATTCTAATTTAATTTAATTTAAACTTAACTTCTGCATTCAAAAAGGAAGGATTGCACATTTGCTCTACACCATCCTGTATCTCTCCTACAGTTCAAATGGGTTACCACCACCAATCAAGCTGTTCTGAGAACATTATAACTACAGAATTAATACACAGAAAAAGTGACTGAGTGCTTCCTCCTTCCCTACTACTAGCCTTTAAGAACACAAAAAAGGCCTTAGTTACTTCTGCCTTTGCCACGCATTCATGGAATATCCGGATCTCCTCAGCACAAGCTGTATCGTTGAAGTCATTCTGTTTCCAGCAGGCCATCATTACCGACATCTCTGTAATGCATGTCGCCTCTAGAAGGGAAAGACACAACCAAGAACCTCATGTGTTTGGGATGTCATGCTAACAGCCTCCGCAGTGCATGAATCTCCAGAGAGAAGTTTAAGGTGGGGTAGAGGCAGGGGAGAAAAAACGACACATCTCTTTGTTTTGTGTAGAGAAGATGTTGCTGCTAGCACAAAGATTAGCACCATTGCTGCCATCACGCCCGATTGAGTTCTAAACGTAAATGCTTTGTTGAAACGTAACAAAGCGTTTTACATGTGTGATTCACATACGGAGTATCACAAGACGCAAATTTAGGGCTGTTGTATGAGAAAGTAATCTTTCCAAAAGAACCCGTGTGCTAATTCTATGGCACAAACCAGACCCCTTCCCCACCGCTGTCCTGGCAATTCCGGGCGTCAACTCGACCCAGCCCTGGCACCACCGTGACCCTTTCCAGGGCGAAGCAGCAGGAGAGCGACGGGACAGCTCCCACCAGCGGCAGTTTACTCCTCAAGAGCTGCAGGTCCCATCCCCCGCCGTTCCTCCCCGGGGAGGGGGCATTTAACGGCCTGGCACCAGGAACTCACCTCCCGCCTGCTCCCTGCGGTTCGCTACCTTGTTGGCCAGCACCAGCGGCCGGGTAGGGCGGAGAACCGGGGGCCGCTTCTTCTGCCGCCACTGCCCGGAGACCCAGCGGATGACCCAGGCCGGGTACACGGGCGCCGCCATGTTTTTTGCGCCAGGCCGCGCGGATAGCAGGCCCCGGCCCCGCCCTCCCG